GGATGGTGTGGCGGAGGATGGCGAGGAGGATTAGGAGAAGGGCGATCGTTGAGGCTGCGAGGAGAGTTGCGGTTTTGGTTTGCATCGCGAACGGAAGGGGAAGACGGCGGAACTGGACGGCATGTGTAGATTGGTCAAGAGCTTTACGAGAGCATGTCGATAGAAAAAGTCAACGGCTTTCACGGCTCCATTGTCGCGATGGAAGGTGGTCAGGTCAAATTTCAGTGGTGACTGTAATAAGGGATCATTATTGCTGGATCGTTTAGTTGATGTTTGAATTTGAAATTTCTTGTTCTCTTGCTAGATATTATAAAATAAGTGATGATATGAGTAATTGCATGCCAAATGTATTTTTATTTATATTATCATTTTTTATAACTTATTAATGAAAACAATAAAATTATTTTGTATGTTTGAAATATTGTGTGATATGCGATCAAAATAGATGATTGAACATTATAAGTGATTTTTTTTTTTTGCATCACTTTTTAAAGGTTGAAATTAACTTTTGATGATTGGGTGTACTTAATTCAAGTTGTTTCTCATTTATTTGTTTGATTAGTCATTCTAAGTTTAAGTTGGTACATTTATAGACTTGGGCCTTTTTGGGGCAGTTACGGTTTATTAAAAAGTTGTTGTGCAGTAGTTGTGGCAAGAAGCTATTGTGCAGAAGCTGTTGTGCAGAAGCTAGATATCTTTTTGTTTTTTGTAGTTTTAAAACAATAATACTGTTGTTGTTTCTGAACAAATAATCTTTTCGCTCATGTACTATAAAGTTGTTTATAACCGAACTATTCATACTTGTGTATTTCATAAATGAAAGTAAATATACAGTTTGAATATTACAAAATAAAAACAGACACTTCACAAAATAATGAATTACACGAAAATCAAAATTAAAGAAAAATATTATTAAAATAACAATTAATAATATAATGATAATAATATTTTTAAAATGCAATTGGTTTTTGTCATGAGATAATTTGTCCTCTAAGGAAACTCACCACACTCATCGATTCCTCAAACCCATCTTCCTACTTAAGGAAGTCACAATTTTTTGTTTTTCTTCTTAAACACATGTAAAATTGTCTCTTCTAGCAATGTGATTGTCGCAATGTAGGCATAGAATATGTAGTTCATAATAGCAGTACAATGCTATAAAGATACCAGAAGTACTCGATTTCATCTTTTCTGAAAGTTTAAAACAACACAGCATGAAACCTTATATATAACATTAGTGAGTATGAATAATAGAAGTAATTAATTCAAGTTTTATGAAATTGTGAGATCTCAGAGAAAATAATATAAAACAACAACCTTAAACCCTAATTTATCACTACAAGAAGACAATAGCCTTTCTAAAAAAAGGGTAATGCCGAACTCGTATGTGTCGCATATGCATATTACCAAAAAAAAAGTAATCAGAAGAACCTCAAAAGCCTTAGGACTAAAAAAGGAAAAGAACTTAGTTGCCTTCATTGAGATTTTGTATGTTTCAAGAACCAATAACAACATATAGGTCATCTAGAATAACTCTTAGGGTCGAATATCTCAACATGGACATCTAAAGCCCAAAAATAAAACATGCAATATGTAGACTACATATTATATTCATGGTTGCCTCATTGGTCATCCAAGTGAGAAAGAATACATACATAAGAACTATAAGTAAAATTGAGATTCAAAATATACATCATTTGTATAAAAACATCAATACAACAAACAAAACATGTTTTTACAACGCAATGCGAATAAAGCAGCAATAAAACAACAGATAATCTCTCTATTAAACCTTCAACTATAGTATTTGTAATTCGCTTTGTCATCTCTATAATCTCCTCTGCACCTTCCCCATCCTGGGTGCAACTGGCATTGTATTTTACTTCAGTGAAGAAGAAATAAATGGGAGAGCCCAACCACGCTATGACATAAAACTAGGGACCACAAGAATATTGCACGGGCCAAGAGGGATAGAAAATCAGAGATTGCAAGAATGTCACATAGAGCAAGAAGCAAGCCAGAAATGTCTCAAGAAATAGTTTCAATTGTCACAAGGCCTACAAAATAAAAACCATAAAAAACTGCACCATATATCACAAGGAGCAAGTCACAAATGCCAAATCTCCAAACCCCAAGTTACTAGGGTATGGTAGAGATTACCAATGGGAGAATATCATCGGAATAGAGAAGGTAAGAGGAGGAAAATACCACCAGAACCCGCCAAACATGGTTGGGGGCGAGGAGGAGAAGAAGATAAATGCCACTGTAACTCACTAATAATTGTGATCAGAAGAAGAGAATAGCTAGGGCATATCTGAGAACGCACAAGCTCGAAGCAAAGCACATGGGACATAGAAGGACAAAAGGAGATTACATGCGAACGGAACGCGGGCCGGCTGCTCGAACCCATGACCCATGTTTCACTCAAATAATTTATAAAGCCACCCTGAAGTGAATTTCAGCTGTAACAAAAAAGTGGTTTCCCCTCGCGAAGCTAGTAAAATGCTGCCCAAAAAGGGGCCTTAATTGAATACAAATTATCATTACTTTGCCCAAAGCGAAGCACGTGAGGTCGAGAAGGGCAAGAGGGGAATTATACGTGAATGAAACACGAGCCGCTCGCTCAAATTTGCGTCCCATATTTCACTCAAATAATTTATAAAGCCACCGCGAAGTAGATTCCAAACGTGGCAAACTAGCAGTTTTCGCACTTAAAGATGGTAAAATGTTGCCCCAAACGGGGCCCTAATTGAATACAAATTATCATTACTTTGGTCATTTGGTGAATATCATTATTGAATCATTTTATGACGTAGGGACTTATATTATCTGTGGGTTATGCCCAAATTCTTCTAGCATTGATGCTAATATGGACAAAAAGTGAGTGAGGGAGGAGGAGGCTAACCCGTGGGAAGAGAAAGCCCTTTCCCCTATTTTATTTTTTTTTTATTTTTTTTTACATTTGGCCTTTATTTATATGTCTTGGGTCTTCATTTCTAATGCTACAAAATAAAATTATAAAAATGTACATAATTTTATATCACATACTGCAGTTTTATGTCATACTATATAATAACATGTCATGACCTGTAACTTTATATCATACCAGAATAATTCAAGTCGAATTTGAGTAAAGTCGATTTATTAGATTAGTTTTTAATAACCTTAATTGGAATCAAGCCAAGTTTAATTATATGCCCAATTGAACTTATTTGCCAATAAGGAACATGATAAGAATAAAAATATTATTGTACTTTCAATTAATTAGCCTAAACTTGACTCAAATGAATGCTGAGTCAAAAATAGCTCAACATTAATCCAAGCTACCTTATCATATCGCGACGGATCACTAATCCACCTAATTTCAATTCCATGATCATTCATACTTTAATCAATTCCAATATTCCAATTGGTTGACTTACTTCAACCCACACTCTAAAGTTTGACTTATTATAAATCCTTAGCCTAAATTAGCTCAGCCTTTGACCCAATAAAACTAATGTTAACACATTTGGCCAATTGTAACAAATTACTAAACTATGATTACAATAAATGAATCATACTCAAATAAATCCCAATTTACTATTACTGACATTGATCAAGGTCAAATCCAAGCTAATCTATTGAGACTCATTATGCTCAATTGAATCCAAACTTTAAAAATGGTGAAGTTTACCCAAACCAATTCTCACATTAGTGTTGGATGTTTGATATTCGTATTATGCTTCGATATCCGTATCTTACCTTAACATTCATGCTAGATAATAGAAATTTGTTAATGGCATAACATATATATTTAACTGACATATCACTATCCAAGCCCTAAAAATCAACCCCACACACAAACACTATATATATATATATATATATATATATTATGA